GGTCACTTTCCAGTTCACCAGATCATCCAGTCAGATTGATTCAAAGTTTTCTATCTAAGGAAAACCAGCTGATTGCATCGACTCATTGACTCAAACAAAATCCCTTAAACAACTGTATACATCAGAATTTCACCAGAATTTGTGGGACGATAAAGGGAATTTGTATTCTATTCTATTCTACTCTATTCTAACTACTGGTCTTGACTGTTTCAATCTGGACTTTTCTGCCTGAATTTGCAGTTTGACTCAAAACTCTGAACCTGCCTGAATGCTTCATGGATTCCTACTTTGCAAAAACAATCTAGTAATAAGTAAAAATGTCTTATATACAGTGTATTTACCCTTAATTTGAGTAGATAAATAAGATGATCTGCCAATAGAATAAGTATTATACCCCTAAAATAAAAATAATTAGATAATATGCACTTGAAATGAGACAAAGCAATTGTTTTTTTTCTTATTTCAAATGTAAATTGTCTTGTTCTATTGGCAAGGTATCTCCCTTTCCTCTTCAATTCAAGAAAAAATGACTTAGTTAGATTTATATTTTTTGCAGTGTGGAACCCTGCATCTGTCAGTTCCTGTTCTGATCAGAACCCCTGACCAGGCTACAGACTCTTGGAACTTATAACTGTCCTGTTTTAAACTGTTCCCATCACCTGGCTCTGACCTCTGCCTGGTCATGGAGGCTGCTGCATCTGGGACACTCTGGGCTAGGAGTTGGACTGAACTGGTAAACCACGTAAGTGACTCGCTTGGATAATCATCTTCCATCAGATTACCGTGGTCAAATACCTGTGTTTTCTCCTAAGCCAGAGTGCCAGTGATTGGTGGTGCCCCGCCTCAGTCACCGCAGATCCACAGCCCCACATATCTCTGTTTTATGTTTGTTAAACGTTTTGAACTTTCACACTGTCTGTCTCACCTGAATTCTGGGTCCTTTATTCTGAGCTTGTATAACAGGAAGAGGAAAATGCCTTTTATGACCTTCTATCAGACCTTCTCTGCACCTGCAGCAGGTTCCTCCATACCTGAGATCTTCCAGTCTCCACCCTGGATCCTTCAGTCCAGCCGACAGCAGCTTCACTCCTGACTCTCCTGGATGATTGTAGCTCAGGTCCAACTCTTTCAGATGGGAGGGGTTGGAGCTCAGAGCTGAGGCCAGAGAAGCACAGCCTTCCTCTGAGATCAGACAGCCTGACAACCTGCAGTAAGACAGTTCAATACAGGAGGGGAAATGGAGAATGCTAAGGTAGAACCCAAGTTAGGTACTCAACATTTTAGGCAACCCCCCCCAACCTAAAATATCAAAGATATACTAGTGGTTCCTGTAGAACCATGGTTCTGGTGTTAAGGTTACTTTGATGTCACTGATGGAGTCCAGGGATGAAGCTGACATAAAGAATAAAGGATTGGTTTGGGTTCATAGGTAATAAAAGTAAAAAGGTGATAATAGTATTACGT